CCCCCCCCACCCCCCCCATAAAAGCGCTCCTACCATGGACCGCTGAGAAATGAGTCCTGAAAATGTTTTATATGTGGCAAACTATCTCATTGGTTTAATACGAAATATTGAATATTCGCAAAGGCGTTTTTAAAGGTCGTAATTTTTAAGATCATTCGGAACACGAACTAGAAAATTCAGTTCAGATCATCCCTGTGCTGCCCATATCTGATATGCATCTGACAAAAAAGCACTGAGTTTTATCAAGTATTTGCTAACAGCCATTGCATCAATAAAAAGAGACAGACAGTTTTCACGTTTCCCTAGAAAAAAAATCACTTGTGATGTTTGATCTTTGGGATCGAGGTATTATTTCAAACCAAAATGATAATTTCAATACTCTTTTTTTTTTTTTCCTAAAATAAAAATGATTCTGATAAACTTAGAAAGGAATACATAATAACTCTAATAAGGTGTCATATAGATTCACTGTGCAAACGCTGTTAAGAAAGAATCTAAATCTTAATTTAAAAGGCCATTTTTGTTTGATTGATGCAGCAGATGTAGATAATTTAGATATCCAGCAGTGCTGCAACTCTCATACTCTTCTCTCTTCTCTGGAAATACATATTTTTAAGAGCTAAAGCATACACTGAAGTACTAGATAACTCCGGTCAGCAAGTCTCAACTTATCTGTTTAGTCTTTTTTCTAATATAAATTGTTGTATTTGTTTCTGTTGTCCATGACTTTTAACTCCAGTTTCTTTTCTGGGCTGTAAAATTTTTATACTTGTTCCTAACGTTTTATTCACCTGTCTTATTGCTGAGGATGCCTTCAGTGTAACTTGAAAATGTAATTTGAATAATATTTGTCCTGTAAGAGACAACTGACCCTGGATTCACGAAAGTTTTTCATCCCTTAAAATGCTAGCATACATTTCCTTAAATGAACATGCAAACATTTGCATTGCAGGGAGTCGAGGGTAATGCCCTGATTTTCCCCTTTCCCTTTCTTGTGCCTTTAATACAGGTACATGCATTAACGTTTTATGGTAAATTTTTAAGAACTGGGTGAACTCACTGGGTCTGCAGTTGTTGATCTTGTGAACCAGTGTGCCTCACACAGCATTGTGCAAGGAGAAGGCTTCTTAGCTTAAACATTTCAAGCAGGGACTAATTTATCCCAAGACCAGGGAAATTTGAAAAGCGCAACGCTGAGCGTAGCACAGGCCACGGAAATGCATTACTGTGCACAGAGGAGAACAAAAAACCAAAAGTCAGGGCCACAGGAATGGCAAAGAGGAAGTTGAAATATATACGTAAAGAGGGAATTTTGACACAGGGATTTTAACTTTGCATGTGGAAGTGAAAATAAGGGTTATCGGTGACAAATGGGAGAGCACTCAAGGGAGAAACACAGGCTCCTATAGAAGGAAAGGCTGTGAAATACCTGAGACTGGAGACCGCTTTCATATTAAGGGAGGTAGCTATGGCTGGGGAATAAACATTAGAGACAGATTGAGTAAAGGAGCTGCTGATCCTGTCTGGAAAGAACAAGTGTGATTAGAAACTAATAGAAATAAGACTGCATAGACATAAGCTAGAAAATGCTAAGAGGAAGGAAAAATATCGAGCTGCAACTCAGAGGACGTGATGCAGGACTACTTCCTCTTAGAATGTGTAAAAGAGGAAATAAAAAACAGCTAGATTTTTTTCCCTCTTCTTTCTTTTTTCTTTTTCTTTTTCTTTTTTTTTTTTTTTTTTTTTTTTTTTTTTTTTTTTTTTGTAATAGTCCTGAGGTTGCTACTGCAATCTTAATTGGGAGAGAAGCAACGGAATCTAAAAAATGCATGATAGGGGACTTAATTCAAGCTTTTACTTTTGCCAGAGTAAATTGACACACCAGACATCCACTCTATTGTAACAGGACAAAATTGTTTTGAGAATTCAGTCCTGCTCAAGTAGATAAGATAAAATTAAATTTTTCATCATTTACCCCGTGTGAACATTGTTAGAAAATTTAAGGTTAGAAATCTACATCTCTCAGCACATTGCATCAAAAATGCAGTGAATCCTGTGTTCCTAAATATTTGTTTGATGGATGCTGGTACCAAGGAGCTACAGCGCAAACATTTCAGACCAGGTGAAAGCCTTTGAGCGACTGCAGATTTCATTAGTTCAGATCACGATTTCCATCCATCAGGTTGTGGATGAGGTCTTAAATCAGTGATTTGCTTTCATGCTTCTAAAGGAAAAAAAATAAATTGTTCAGTAAGTTGTGATTAAACATTAGATTGAGGCCTGTTTTTCCATGGACTTACTCTGAATTTATGCTGGGGCAGCTCTGTTCAGAGCGGTGGGAGGAAAGGACAGGGAAATAGTGCAGCTGTAGGGACTCTGAGCCTCTGAGTCCATGAGAAGATTGGCTTGGTTTTGTTTTCTTTTGAATTTTACATTTCCACCATTGTGCTGACTCTGCTGTAGCTTAAAATTAATGCTACTGATGTAAATTGGACCAGAATGAGTTCCTGTTACTTGAATTTAATTATTGACAATTACAGAAATATATTTTTTAAAGCTTATTTCATGTACTTTTCATGTCAGAGTACACGTTATGCTGTGTATTTCAGAGGTGCACTGGTGTAAAAACTTTTCTGTATCTTTGCAAACTAGGCATGGAAACGATTCCTATTTTCCCCAAACAGCTTCTTAGTCCACACAGGTTTTTGCTGTTGCTGCTTTTTTCTATTTTATCGTATTGCTTGTTGATCTTCTGCACCCCAAATGAAGTGCTGTATAGGGAAGCTGAGGCTTCTGCTCCTTGATTTTGTAGGTGGTGGCCTTGGGAGATGTGCCCGATGGGACGCTGGTAACGGTGATGGCTGGAAACGATGAAAACTACTCTGCAGAGCTCAGAAATGCCACAGCCGCCATGAAAAACCAAGTAGCAAGGTTCAATGACCTCCGATTCGTGGGTAGAAGTGGAAGAGGTATGTGTTCGTTCTCAACTACACTTTAGTCATGTTCACCAGTTATGTCAGTTCTGGTTACGTGGAGGGAATTTGAAATCGGCGTCTATCGAGTTTTCTGCAGTAGGGAAGGCTACAAGATCTGATGTAGGCCAATTCCAAAGGCACAGAATTAGCTGTATGTTTTTCCTTGTTTTATCCTAGCCAGTCGTTTGTGTTACTTCTGCTGTTAAACAGTAAAATCTCATTTGAAAAGAAAAAAATCACATAGACAGCAAGTCACATTTTGACTCTGGAATCCACCCTGTCAAATTTAGAACAGCACAGTATTCCCCATGTTTAAGTTTAAATAGCATATTTTCAGACTGTGTAAAGACTCACGATCGTCTTGGTGCTCTCAGGCACTCTCCGCAAGGCAGGTCTCTGTAACAGAGAGAGTCAATTTAAGATTACAAGTAATTCCTGCATAGATCTAAAAACTTTGCGGGTTCATCACAACCTGATGAAGGCACAGGGCACTTTTCACTTTTTCTGACATTTCTTTCTCTGAAATAGACGTAGAACAATATGCAGTAGTCCTGTTATTTAATGTGCTTCTGTGAAGTAGATAGGATAGACCAGAAAAGAACAGATGATCTTGCTGTATCTCTGTGATAACCAGTAATTACTGGTGTGTAAACAAAAAGGCCTTATGAGTGTAAATACCAAATGAGTTGAAGTTGACTTAGACTAGCATATATAAAAATGTTGTTAGGAAGCTGCAAACAGTACTTGATACGTGAAGCTCATGTCACCTGTGAGTGGGTAGGTGTACAAAGCTTGATCCAAAAGCCCATAAAATCAACAGAAGGACCCTTCCCAACTTCCCTCTCTGGCTCCGGTCCATAATCTGAAGCTCCATAAATTCCAAGCAGTCATGTTTACCTTCCTATTACAAGATTATTTTAAGTGCTCCTCTTGCATTACTGCCCTTGTTGCTGTAAGTGGAGTCCCTTTGCATGGGTTGGAGGGGTTCCGTCAAACCCACAGAAGAGAAGACGGTGAGCTGTTGCTCAGAAAAAGCTCATAAAAAAGATCAGCCTCTCTCTTTTAAGGTCAAGAATGAAAATCTGTTCCATCTTCCATGTGACTTCATATGATATTTACTTTTTTTTCTTCTGTTTCATTCATATCTTTAAGTAAAATCAGAATGTAACATTATGGTGTTCCAAACAGGGTGGTGTTAGGTGAATTGTTAGGGACAATTCAGTGCTGTAACACACAAATCAAAAAGGCAGTGTCTACTGCACTTAAGTAGGCTTCTATATACCGCCTTTTCAAGCAATTTGTGCGATAGTGTCTCTCTGAACCAGATTGAGTACTCAGGGCTTGTTGACCCTTCCTCAACATTTTCCCCTCCCTCTCTCCCCATGTGAGCATCCGAGCAGTCTCCTGATGTGTGGGCATGCATGGCTCTTACGAACACGGAGGTATGAGCATACTTCAGGAGAGTTACAAAGGTGACCCACTTCTGCTCACTCACTCTCAGACTGATTCGAAATGGGACATGGCTTCAGATCAAGGAAGTTATTATGATTATACACAACATCCTTTATTCTGCTTTGAAGTTAAACGTATCTGTAGATATTCTTCCAATATAAATAAAGTCAGCAATTGGGGAAGAGCGTGGCCCTGTTGAAACATAGGTACAAGCAGTAAATACTGTTTAAGAATAAAATACCAATCCAGTCCCACTGTATCTTGCAGCATTTTGAGCTGAGGATACAGAGGGAGATGTCTTTTAAATCGTGCTGTATGGGCTGTCTTCAAAATGCACTTGGTGGAAAACACCCGCAGCTGAGAACGTAGCTTTGTAATGCGAGCAAAGAATAATAATAGGGTAATGTAGAGAAAATTATATCCATTTACTGAAAACATGAGAGATGCTGTAATGTCTAAAAGTATCAGTCATTAAACATGTTCATTTGTTATATTAAAGGTACCACCTTTTCAGTAAATGGAATTTGCATTATGATTCAGAGATGACTGTTTAGAAGATTCAAATGAATAGTTGGCAAAGTGGCGGAGAAGCTAATAAAAACAAACCTGTAGTTCAGTTCCTGGCCATGGTAATGAAGCTAAAAATCATAACAGTGAACTGTGTGAGTTTCAAGGTCAAAATCCAGCGGCTGAGAGAGAACAGTCTCTATTCATACAGGAAAGCTTGGCAGGGCACGTTGCTGAGCCCCTTACCCTGCTATAAGGGGTTGCTCGTAGTCAGTCACTTGCGCACAGACATAAACCTTGTATGTTGTATGATATTCAGGTGCTCGGGATCCTTTAAGCCATGGGGTGATTTGGGAACACTGCATGCTATTAGTCAGTCTTCGAGGTTAAATCTCATCACCTCCATTGGCTGCCCATCTTTGGAGCGAGTGACTAATGTATGCTTTTGTTTACTCCTTGAACTGGGAATTGTTTTCCAAAGGTGGGGATTGTTTGCGTTTGGTATGGGATTTCTGAGGTGCTGTTCTGTTGAATTTGTTTAAAGCCTAAAGCATGAGGTAGCTGCTTCAAAGGGCATTGCTTCCTTTGATACTTCACTAGAGGAAAATTAACCGAAACTTTGTTTGCTGTGTAATATTTGAGTTTGAATAAGTTCAGTTGCCACCAGTGATAATGCGATGCCAGTAGTTTTATGTGAACAGTGATTGAAAGTTCATGTCGGTTACGGTCAGAGTGGACGCTCTTTGTGTACCTCAGCTGATTTAAAATCACGGCTGGAGAATAAGGGACGCCTTCGACCGGTGACAGTTCCCTGTGCATTGGTTATCGCCCAGGTGGAACCATCCCTATTAAAACCTTTGCTGAACCGATAGCAAGCCACTGTTCTCTCCCTTCTGAAAGAGCCTGAAATTGTCATTCTTGAAATTTTAAATAAACAGTTTACATTTTCTTCCATAGGCTTTAAATGAAAACTAGCAAGACAGTCTGACAGCTGTTTCAAACGCAAGACTATTGTCCACATTTCTATCTTGGTGAATAAGCGTCTCTGCACTGACTGTGAGAGAGTTACAGCAATTCCCCATGTTCAGGGGTCTGATCCTGCCTGTCAGTCAGAGCAAACGCACCAACCAAATGTAGGCTGAAGCTTAAAGAACCGAACTGTGTTTCAGCGTTCGTTTCATATCTAACAGCAAGCAGTTGCCCTGTGTTACTCTGCTTGTGCCTGTTGTTCGGAATATTTAAAAAAAAAAAAAAGAAAAAAAGCACTTGATTTTCGGAATGGGAGCTGAGAATATTATAGGTCACCCAAAACATCGAGATGTTGTATAAAAGCAATTTGGCTCGCTTTCCGAAACAAAACAGATTTACATTGGAATTGGCTGAGCTCCAGAGTTACTATTCCTCACCCTAGTTTGAGAATGCTACTGGGAAAACCTGCCTGTCTGGCTTGTAAGCCCAAGTAAGTAATTTCTGAAAGAAAAATGTAGTTTAAAACTTCAGCCAATCTCAGCCCCCCCGGCTTGATTATCTGGTTAAAAAAAAAAAATCTTTATTTTTCTCCTTCTGTTCATAAACACTTCAAACTTCAAAATGCTACTACTGCAAAGTACCCTGTTTTCTTAATGTATAATGAACCAGTTTAGGTTCCTATGATGAAATAAATCTGATGCAAAAAGCCTGACACCATAGAAGTTCATTGGATAAAATTAAAAATAAATAGTTATTTTGGAGAGGGAAAGCTTTGTGGCTCAGTAAGCATTACATATTTTCCTCATGGAATCATTAATACCAGTAACTATCTTCTTTGTACAACGTAACATTAAAAAAACCCAACAAATAAACATGTTTTCCAGATGAAAATAATTATTAATAGGTTATCATAATAGTAGCTAATGGGGAAGTGTCTTGGCTTGCTGCAGAAGATGTCAATCTAAACCTGAGAGCTGGAGCTTCGTGATGGCTTTCCAGCAAGGCCTTTTTAAAAAACGTGTCTTGGAAAGGACTGAAGATTAAGCCTACGTATATGTATTTCCTCCTAGCTGTCAGGATTAGAGTCATGAATAAATTTTGTGATAGCTTTCAATTTCCACAGAACCAAAGAAGTACTCCTTTCTCACAGGTGTAGCTGGTAGGAGAACGCTAGAGAAATATATTACCAAGCATAATCAGAAATTTCTGCCATCAGGACTCTTCCTTCTGGATATAATTTGGGGGAAGAAAAATCCATTTAAGCTGGAATCTCAAAAATACTTAAAACCCAGAAATTACTGGTCTGAATTCTGAGTCCAATTATTTTTATTGGTCTTCTGAAGTCAGAATTTTGCTCCTTCTGTGCAGCTTCAGCTTGTGGTTGCATTATTTGAACACTTTGTTAAAATTTGTTTTATTTTTTACTCAAACGCATTCAAAATTATAAAAGCATGTGCAAAACAGAGGAGGATGCTATTCAACAGGGTCATAAAATCAGTATTGAGCAGCCCACCAGGTCCTGGTCCAAGCCATTGGAATACTTTAGGGGACGTGGTATCAGATACGGGAGTAACAATGAACCGCACTTGCCAGACAGGACAAAAATAGAAGAAATCCAACCGCAATCAAAACTGAGAAAAAGAGTCAATTGATAGAGTTTAAAAACAACCGCTTATTTATACTTCGGATTGATAAGTATGCAGCGCTAGAAAGGATGCTATGGCCAGTGGGAGGGTGGTTTGCCTGTAGAGAAATGAGCAGCTCCTTTGAGCCGTCCCGCAGCCCTACCGTTGTGCCAGGCATGGGCACGGCTGGTATGGCCCTGGGGGTAGGAAAGACGGGCATCTGCAACGCCGCTTGCCTGGGGCCGCCGCTGCCCCCCCTGCCGCCCGTGGGCAGAGGCCAAATGAAGGGGTCGCACTGCTGGTCCTCGCCATGGGTGTGGGTTAGAGTGTCAGGGTTTATCAGGGTTCTTCTCGCTCCAGACTGGTCTGAACAGTGAATTCTCCTCTAAAAGACCAAGGACAGAAGAGGTAATTTTATTTTGAAGTGACTTAGGGTTGCTT